GGGAGGGGGGGGGGCCCACAATAGAATCCCCAGGCCGGACTCACTTGTGCTTTGCAGGGGAAGGGAAGGGGGGAAGTGCCCCGAGATCTGCATATGATCAGTCCCACTCCCCACCAGCCGATTTGCTCCCCTCCCCTGCTCCGCCTCCAGCCAGCCCCACTTCCCCCAACCCCCTCCCAGACAGCCAGTTCTCCCCCATTTCTCCTCACAATCTCCCTTGGCCAGCCCTGCTGTCCACGGCCAGCCCTGCTTCCAGCGGCCACTTCTCCTCCCTCCCTCCTACATCTATCCCCAGCAAACTCCCTGCCTCCGATCTCATGCCCCCAGCAGCCCTGCTTCCGTTCACCCCTCACTCTCTTCCGGCCAGCCCTGATTCTCCAGGCAAGCCCTGCTTCCGGCGGCCGCTTCTCCCCTACTCCTCCTCCCGATCTCCCCCACTAGCCCCCTGCCCCCCCGGCCAGCTCTGCTTCTGCTGGCTGCTCCCCAATCTCCCTGGGCTGCCCTGATGCTCCTGTCCAGTGCTGCTTCCAGCAGCCAGCTCTCCCCTCCTTCTGCTCCTCCTCCCCAGCTATGCCTCTGCTGAGAGCAGGAACATCCAGCTACAGACTCCACCCAGGCTGGCCGAGGGCTTGGGGGACCCAGCGCCACACAGGCACTCTGGGAGCCTGGAGCACGTTGGCAACCACACTGAAGCCCGGTATTTTTTTCCTGCGGCCTAGTACCGGGCCGCAGCCCATAGTTTGGGAAACGCTGGTATAGTTGATACAATTTGTGTAGACTATACCAGTGTTTTTCAATCAGTGGTACAATTACCCTTCAGGGTACTGGAGAGAAGTCTGGGGGGTACATCAACACAACTTAAACTTGGAGAAAACTGAATTTTTGTTTTACAACACTTCATTATTTTTGTACTTTTTACAAAATTTAATTGCCTGCCCGGCTACGATTAAGTTGTTTAAACAAATGTGTTGTGATAGCAGAACAAATTTTTGTGTGTCTAAAAACTGTAGGTACTGGGGGTACTTACAATTTTTTTTAATAAAGGGTTTTTTTTTAAAGGGATACTTTATTAAAAAAAAAGATTGCGAAACACTGGACTATACCATTAGTTGATAGGGCTGCTCTGCAAAGCTGCAGCAGGGGATAGCTCCAGGAACCCGCATGAGCAGGGACTGAGTAGTCCTGGCTCATGCTGCCTCCAGGAGGCACCCACACTGAGGCTCTGCATTTTAAATGTAGTAACCACCACTGGACTCATTACATTTAAAATGCAGAAGCGCAGCGCGCCGGACCACCATGAGTGGAACTGCTCGGTCCCAGCTTGCACTGAGTCCAGCAGCCCCTGTTCGCAGCGAAGAGGCTGGTCTCAAAGCAGACTCTGACCACATCCAGCAACAGCTCCTGTTTCTCCCCCCACCCCCTCCACTCCCACAAGCTTGGTGCCATGGGAGGAAGAGGCACAGCGGGGAAACGGCGTAGACAGTACTGGGGGGAACCGACTTTTAAGCTAGCTCCCACCAGCATCGGCTCCTGTTTCCCCCTTGCTGCCTCTCTCTGATAGAGGCAGCAAGGGGAGGTGACTAGTCAAGTCATAATCGACTATTCAATAAGCTTATGGTTATCGGATAGTCAACTAGTTGCTTTAATCCCTAGCCAGTCCAGAACCAAGTATGGCTCTCTTAGGATATGTCTACACTACAAAGTTAATTCGAACTAACGGACGTTAGTTCGAACTAACTTTCCTAGGCGCTACACTAGCGCTCCATTAGTTCGAACTTAATTCGAACTAACGGAGCGCTTAGTTCGAACTAGGTAATCCTCATTCCACGAGGACTAAGCCTAGTTCGAACTTACTAGTTCGAATTAAGGGCTGTGTAGACCCTTAATTCGAACTAGTGGGAGGCTAGCCCTTCCCAGCTTCCCCCTGGTGGCCTCTCTGGGCACAACCAGGAAAACTCCTCTCCTCTCCCCCAGCCCCGGGCCCTTAAAGGGGTAGACTGTGGCCAGACGGCACTTGAGACAGCCAGCCCTGCCAGCAGTCTCTGCCCCTGACCCAATGGCTGCAGTATGT